TTCTCGAACTTCTTAACCAAAATTTTACCCCAAGAAAGAGTCTTTTGGCCGTTTTAAATTTATCAAGAATAACGCTGAAATTACCAAGTTGATTGATGACAAAGTTATATCAAAAGAAGCCTCTTGCGCTGCCCAACGAAGTTTCAATTTTTCATAAATTTTCATAAACATCCGTAATGTTAGGAATTTGTTAAACCCAAATAAATTGAAGTGCATACAGTAAAATGACCTTTTGGCTATCAACAAAAAACATATTCTGTTATGCACATTTTTTTAAGTTTTACTTCAGTAAAACTTTGTTGGCAGTGCAAGACGCTTCGTTTGCTGTAACTTTCCTGAAAATTTTTGCATGCGGCTAGAAAGCTTCAATTTCATGAACAATTTCTTTTGTATTGTAAATTATTTAGAGCTCCCTTTGAGAAAAAAACTACAATTATCAAAAAGAAAACGGCAATAACTTGCAAAATAAACCACCAGAAAAAAAGTGTTGAGAAAAAATAGGTTTTTCGTTGATAAAAACCGTGGTCGAAAGATTCAGGTATACTTGCAGGTCATTTTCTCTCTTCTTGAACGCTCCAAAAAAATTTTTTATTGAAAACACGAGAAAACAAAGTTTTGCACCTGGTTGGTTGATATCACATGAATTATCAAAACGAGATGGAATCCTCGCGTTTAACTATTGATGCGTGGATGCTTGCAATGCTTTGGGCCATTTAAATGAGAAGACCCCAAGTTGCTCAAAAACTTTATACTCCTTTGGTAAAATTTTTTTGTTCATGCAGCGTTGTTAAATAATTCATGGAAACTGCAAGTGGCAGAATGAGGCTGAGAGCATTGACCTGATGAATACGTCTTGTCTGCTTCTTTCCATTCGGTCAACTTTTTTTTCCGCGAAGCCATTCATACAGAGCCCAAACTGTGTAGTGTTTGAATTGTAAGCGGAAGCCGCAACATTGCTATTTTTTTTCGATCTTTAGAGTTTTGGATTTCACAAATTGTGAGGGGCTACATATTTAGATGTCAATCAATTTAGTTGTTATCCATTATTATTTATATCCTTGAGAGTTCTCATATTATGACTAAGTGTGAATTTGGTACCTGACTGTCAGTCAGTCTAGGTCTGTCTAGTCTGCTATGTGTTGACCTCTAGTTCAGTGTCTTATTCATGCGAACTAGAAACAAGTTGAATTTAATGTTCAACCGTATCGTTTTGACTATCCCTTGTTATGGCGCAGCCAGCAGATGGAGGGAGAAAAACCCCCTTGGAATTGTGGCATTCTAGTCTCCGAATCAGGCGGAACCACAATTATTATGGGAGCATTGGAAAGAGCGATTTCATTTGGCAATGGTGGCAAAACACGGGTTAGTTTTGTCTGAATACTACTTTCCGTCCACGTTGACTGAAGCGCAGACTACTGCACTGGCAGATGTTGGTGGCAAATCAAGGGAAGAAGGTGAACGCACACTCATATCGAATCTGTATCTAAGTATAGGACAAGAGGGACAGCGGGCCTTGCGTAACCATCATCCACACTTGAATATGGAAGAAATACGATGCCCAAGGTTCTTGGATACATGTGTAGCCCTTTTCCAGAAAGAGCGAAATGAAACTTATGAAATGTACCAAATGTTGTCGAGGAAGCAAAAAGAAGGAGAGAGTTTAGAATCGTTCTACGCAGAACTCAGCGGAATGGCGGCCAGATGCAACCTGGGTACCCAAGAGCGAAAAATAGTGAGAGACATATTTATATTTAATATGCGGAATAGGGACGCGCAGAACAAGGAGGAAGCACTAAGTATCGCAATGTCGTATGAAAGAGGCGATAAATACGCAAAGACTTACAAGGGAAGTGCGCCAGGCTCCACTGGAAGGGGCTACACAACCCCAGTTGGTTCTCTACAGTATATAACGGAAGCAATCAGTAAAATTCGTAGATCCAGGGGACGAGGAATACAAAGGGGTTGGGGACAATACCAGAATCGCGGAGGAGGCCGAACGCAAGAACGTAGATATTATAACTGTGACCAGCCGAATTTCACTCCAGAACACCGACAACGATGCCCAGCAACAGCCGTCACATGATGAAATTTCTGCAAAAAGGTCGGGCATTTTGAGAAAACTTGTCGGGGAAAACGGCTGTCACGCGAGGGACAATTAGTTGGACTAATCCAAGGGGACGAACCGTTCCATGAAGAGGATACTCCCTGGGATGGCGTTGGGTCACAAAATGCTGCAAATTCAGTAGGTTTCGTCAAGAGAGAACATCACAGCTGGTCATCGGAGAGTTCAGATGACTATATGGTTATGGCGATTAGACGTAAAAAGGAGACACTATTGAAAGTTGCTGGGCCTGAACTTAAAATCTACATTAATGGACACCCAATGAACATCTGGATCGACAGCGGATTGCCGATATCCATACTAACACTTGACGACTTGAAGAAAACAGTGGGAAGAACGGGAGTCAACTTGAAACAAGACGACATGGAAGATGACTAATTTCGGGACTACAGCAACAATCGGATCAAAATGTTGGGGAGAATGGAGGTTGAGTTAGCATCAAACGGCTGGAAAACAAGAGCGGAAGTCAGAGTTATCGGAGGGACCAGATTTTCAATCGTGGGACGTGACCTGATGGGGAAACTCGGACTACATTTGATGCAAGCAGATCTAAAGGGGGCAGTGATGAATATCCAGGGGATGGAGGACAGTACATGTGAGAAGGAACAATCTGGAGAATCAGAGGACGAGCAAATGGACCCGTGTAGGGGATCGAGCGGTGTAGCAAAAGGGCCGGAGAGTGCCGGTAACGCTTCAAGACAAAATGGATGAAGAGATCGATAAGCTACTAGCCCAGGGACACATAGAAAAATTGAAGGAGTGTTCGGATCGATGTTTTGTTTCTCCGATTGTTATTACCGTAAAAAAAAAGACGGGTCCGTAAAATTAGCGTTGGAATCTGGAGAACTCAATAAACAGGTGCATAAAAACAAGTACCAAATGCCCAACATAGAAAAACTTGTAGATGCAATATGGGAGGTGTTTATTCCGAGAAAAAACAATGGGAGGTGTTTTTTACCACGATGGATTTAACTTACACGTAGGGACATCTACCGCTCAGTGAAGAAACAAGTGCACATTGTAATTTCTCATTAGTTGTCGGACGGTCGACAGGAACCTACCGATTTCGAACAGGATTTTACGGGCTAACGTCAATGCCAGCAGAGTTCCAACGGGCAATGAACTCAATTTTAAACGAATTCCCCCAAGCAAACGCTTTCATTGAGGATATTTTTAGTTACAACCATTTTGGCTATAACCAAGGGAACTGAAGTGGAACACATATTCTTGATTGAAAAGATTCTTAGAAAATTGAATCGCGAAAAAATCTCGTTAAAACTACTTAAGTGCGAGTTTGCAAAGCGAGATTGCGAATGGCTCGGCCATCGTATAACAGAAACGGGAGTAACGCCTCTGAAGCGTAGGACGTCGCCGATCGATGCATTAGCGGCCCCTAAAACAGTTACTCAGTTGAAATCATTTATGAGCTCAATCCATGGGAGTGGAAGTACAGGCGATCTCTACCAGCGTACTACCAGCCGAACCTTAAACCGGTATAAACTCTTAAAATCTAATGTAATTGCCGAGTCTAAACATACCATCAAACTGAAAAACGGGTCTGTGCTTAGGAAAAGTGTCGTGGCAGCAAAACCGAAGAAGACCCTGCCAAAGAAACGAAAACCGGCCACACTCAAACACGTGCTCGCAAGTGCGAAAAAAGGGGTAATAGAAAGCCCAAAGTCAAAGCGGCCTAAAGCGAAACAACCAGCACCTATAGCCACATATCGATCTGAAAGCTCGGACAGTGAGGATCACCAACCATTAAAAAATATACCAGCACGACTACCAGTCGAGATTTCGGCAAGGCATGAGGCAATTGCGGCGGGACAAGGACCAAGGCAGAAAAAATCAGGAGGAATACGGAACGGGGTGAGAACTAAACCTACAAAAGTAAAACGCGGCAAAGGGAATCAGGACAGACCGGCGTTAGTTGTGAGAGAGTATATTACAAACAAGAGGAAGAAGGAGAATCAGGTAGCCAAAGAGAAAGCTCGCGAGCACGAAAGAGCACGAGAAGAATGAAGCCAGTCGACAAAATGCGAGGAGTGATGATAGACAATATCCAAGGGGTGGAGAAGAAGTGGAAATATCCAGGGGAAGGAAACAAGTAAATCTTAAAACTCATTTAAGAGTCGTAACCCAGGGAGAGGGATGGCCATAAGCCTAAAACTCACAGTTAAACTTCTGATGCGTTAGTTACGGCAGCAGGTTGAAAGGTCACTACTTAATATATTAAATTTAAATTACTATGTATTTAAATTTTACATATGTACGGAAATGTGAGGGGCTACATATTTAGATGTCAATCAATTTAGTTGCTATCCATTATGATTTATATCCTTGAGAGTTCTCATATTATGACTAAGTTTGAATTTGATACCTGCTTGTCAGTCAGTCTAGGTCTGTCTAGTCTGCTATGTGTTGACCTCTAGTTCATGCGAACTATTTATTTATTTATGCGAACTAGAAACAAGTTGAATTTAATCTTCAACCGTATCGTTTTGACTATCCCTTGTTAAAACAAATAGATAAAACACTGTATTGCTCAACATCGGTCTAAAAACTGGCGATTTTGCAGAATACACAACAAAACGTGCGGAAACCGGAACAGTTTGCGGAATCTAAAAGCAAATATAAACTCAATACACTGTAAGTTTTACTTTTGCGAAATCCCTGTACATTTGCGGAATCCGTTTACAATTTGCCGAATACGGTGGCATCTAGCTATATCGCTCGTTGTGGAATCCACAACAAAACCAATGAGCCGACAAAAATTACATTACAGATATTTCTGCGCGGAATCTGCGGGATTTTGGATTGCAGTGACCTAGAGACACCAAACCGTGGGCCTATCTGATGCACAGTTAGGCCTCGTAATGTTAAAAACGACAAAATAAGTCCAGATTTATTTACATTAACTCATCGTGTACAATTATAGAAACATCCACAATTTACCACACAAATCTCGTTTCAGTTCAAAGATGGAAGCAAAATGTTGCTCCATTGAAGCTAGATTCCAGAACATCCTTTCTTGACGTCACCAGTCGAACTTGTACAAATTTTTGCTATATTTCATGAGCCAGTGAAATTATTGACACTTGCACTGGAATTGTCGCTCTGCTGAGGCAAGTCTGGATCCGGTTGGATGACCTAATCATATCGCAAACATATATTTGGATGTCATCAAGCATGTTACGGTAGATGAGCTTAGCTTGTGTTGAAGGTGTTGTGAATGCATTAGGCTTTGCATGAATACCTACCTCAGTCCAGAGCTGTTTCAGTTCCTGGCCCAATGCCCTCACAGTCTCCTCGGAGTAGAGGTGTCCAGGGTATCCGATGCTCCAGAACAGACTGCCCTGGACTGTGGCGAGGATGAGGCAGAAACAGTCGCCACACTTGGACTGGTCTGCCACACCTACACCACAAGGTCACACAAGGCTACCAAGGAGGGCAAAACAACACAATGCTAGCCAAAATTAAGACATACAAAGTTATATCAAAAAAGACAATCGAAAAGGTCATGAAAAAGCTTTGAAAAAACCCAAAAGAAAGCAAACATTTCTTCAAAAAAGGGGCAAAAAATGACCAAACTAGCAAATAAATTATACATCATGAAAGCACGAGCACCATCAAAAATACTAGAAAGTGTCTATGAAAATATGCATCCTTTTTCACGGACGCTTTGGGATACAAAACATTTAATAAAATAAATTTGATGGATCAAAACTCGATATTTTAACATTTCCTGGGGATAACAGGTACTGAAAACAGCTAGTGCAAACTTTTTAAGGTGATTGATTGGCCGAAAGAGAGGTCGTACCAATGGACTTTTCGACCTGGACTGCCCTGTAGTCCCCACACAACTCCGGGTCGAGACAGTTGACCTCGCCCACATTTGAGAACTGGATCATGGCGAATCTGCCCTCGGATCTCTTGTCGTTGGAGAACATGTCTACTGCTCTCTCCACTAACTTCCGGTTCCTCGAGATCCTCGATTGCAGCTCCCCGTTGAAGAAGGCTCCAAAGTTCTTAAAGTTGCCTCTGCAACACAAAATGACGATACAATTTTTTTGAAAAGCTTTTCTTGGATAAATTTCAATTTCGTTTTGATGACCTCTGATTAAATTTTATCATGCTGCGAACTAAAATTGGTGCCATGTTAAAGTCCAGTTAAATTATCATCAAAGATTGGTATTTGTTGATTAAAGTTTTTGATAGTTTTTGACAAGGGAGAGGACTTCTGATCATTTGAAATTCTTACGATATTTTGTCAGACTTCTCTCACAAAAATGTTTACGTCAAAAGAGGCTGTTAGTTTTCTCTTGCAATTAAAACTGATGATTATCTAAAATGGATCAAACATGTTGGCGTAGCTTTCGAAGATAGTCTAGAGCCCAAACACAAACTTCAGCAAGTCATGTCCTTTTCCAAAAATGGCTGTGCCAATGAAATGTGCACATGGAAATATATTTAAGCGAAACTGAACAGATAAGACAAAAGAAGAAGGAAGGACACTCTAGTTCTTTTCTTTTCCTTTCTTTCTTTTCTTTTCTTTTGTCTCTCGTGCACATGACATGACATGACGCATACCGTATCTGTTGTGTGATGAGTGTGGCAGTGTCTGTCACTATCTTCCTGACTGGCTTCTTCTTCTCCTTCCTCACAAACGGCAGCACCAGCAGCAGTCCCGCCGCAATGTAGTTCCCCACCAGTGCCCCCGGGTCCAAGTGGCCCTTCTTGAAGTACAGGCGGGGGTCACGCAGCACATGGGCTGAACGAAAGGAAAGGAAAGAACAAACACAAAAAGCCTCCAAATCCGTTTTAGACGACAATGCAGTTTGATGAGACTGAGACACCGAAGTTCATTTGAATTCAGTATCAATTCAGAATCCAATTCAAATCAAACGTGAAGCAACATCAGCACATAAGTAATTCAATTTTCAAGTAGCCTTCAGTTTAATATACAAAAAATCAAGAAAAGCGAATGCTCATGTCAAGCAGAGCTGGAGAAATTCGAACAGCAATCTATAAAATTAATTTTTAAAAAGTACGACAATCTCGGCTCTTTTCCACGTTCCACCCATATTTGACGTTATGAGAATTTAATAGAAACTTATTAGGAAATTGTGATAATAATTTAACTATTGTGGGGTAGGGGGGGGGGGGGGGGTAGGGTAGGGTAGGGAAGAAGGAAGAATGGGAAGTGTGTTGTTGGGGAAAGGATAACTTGTTCACCTCCCAGGTATGTCCTGGGCCAGTTGAGTCCCTCGTAGGCGTACTTCATGAGAGCCACTCCAAACAGAGCCAGACCCAGTCCAGTGACAGTGAGTCCATTCTGGCGTCTGAACTTCTGGAAGTTGGTCCACTCCTCAGGGGTGAAGCGGATACACTCTGTGCGTAGACGGCACTCACCCCCGCCAGATCCCTCTCTCGTCAGTGGCTTCAGTCGAGTTGAGTTGAACAGACTGTGACTGGCAGTTGGCACGCATCTGCACCAAATAACCAACTTGTCGATTATATTATCATCTATCATACTACTTGAAGCCAAGCATGACAAAACAGGGCGGCTGCATTTCAAATTTTTCCCAAGTATTTTAGCACATTTTCAAAAAAAAGTTTCAAAAGTAGTGTTTAATTTTTCAGAAACCAACAACTCAAGCTCTCCTTGCTTGAATAGTGAAAAAAATACTGGAAAAGGAGGGAGCTGAACTGGTTCACTGCAGTTAGAAAGTAAAGGGTTGCAGACCCGGGTTGACCAAAACTTCTTATCATACAATTTCCATATATGAGAAACTTCTTGTCATGCAATTTCATACAATTCCATACGTACAGAAAATTGTATGAAAACTCTATGATAAGCATTTTTCCATATATGAAAATTGCATGATAGGTGTTTTCCCATAAACAAAAATTTTGATTTTTTCTTTCTAAATTTAGTTTCTGAAAAATTTTCGGTTGTAGTTGCAACCGAACACAAGTGACGAAGACCTTGGTTATTCAAAACACCAAAGGTTGGACGGTCTTGCATTTACACTGCATAGAAAACGACCTGAATTTGGCTGTCTTTCACAATTGATATAAAAAAAGTAACAAACTTATACTTTTTGGCAAAATTTTTTAATGATGATTATATTAAATTTTTGAATTTTCAAATTATCAGACATTGATTAAGGCGTACATTAACACCCCATACAAAAGAAAGAGGAATTTTCAGCGTTTTTGAAAAAAAATTAAGTGAAAAGAAAATAAAAGTCAATTTTATCGTATCCAGGACTACGTTATGCACACAAAATATTAAACGTATATATGCAATGCAGAGTTGACCTGAACTTGAAGAGTATTCTGATGCCGATGTCGCTCATGAGACAGAGAGGGTAGCAGGCCACCTTGTACATGCGCAGATTAGGAACTAATTGCTCATACGGGGGGCACATCTTCAACGCCTCCGACTCGTCCTCTTCTAAAAAGAAAACAACTAAATCTTCACCAACAAAATATGGTATTTAAGATAAACATGTCCGATACCATTGGTAACTAATTATACTAACCAAGTTAAGAGAAACACAAACACATTTATTAGACCATGTGGCCTGCTGTCATGCGTCTCCCCATGGGATGGTCAGTGAAAACACTGGCAAAAACAGAGACGAGTTTTACTAATAGACAAACCAGACAATCACAGCATCCCCCAAAGTAAGAACAGTGATTTTCTAACTTCTTATAGTTAGAGTTAGAGTTATCCGTTAGATATTGTTAGAGATAACTACTTTTCCAACTTGTAGATAACCGTGTTTCTATTTTGAAAACAATTACATTTTAAATTTGGAGATAAAATTGAAGTTGAATATATGAAGGAATACTACTACATTGTTAATTTGTAGTATTCGTTCATATATTCAACTTGAACCATCCGTAGGGAGACGTATGACAACAGACCGCGTGGTCTAATATATGTGCTTTTGTTTCTTTTTGTTGCAGGAGATGGGCACTTTTCAGTGGCAGAACCATACACTCGCCAGCAATACGAGTGCAAGACCCATCAAACTCCTAAATGACTCCAACATCAGACAGCGGCTTTTCAAACAAGGAGCAGCAACAAACCAGCCCCACTGCTCCTAAAAAACCTTCGTGGCTGGAATCAGAGACGCTTTGTTATTGCTAGAAGCAGGAATAGAAACGAACCCCGGACCTGAAGCTTGTACTTTGCGCAACCAACAATTCAAAAGAACTCAGTATAAATGTGGTGCCATTAAGGTTGTTGGTACACCTCAAATGTACCAAAGTCAAGTCCGTCAAAAACTGGGATAGCACATTTGTGTACGGAGACTGCACATGGTGCCGACCACCTGATAGACCAATTGCACAACCATTCCTCACTAAACAAACCAAATTTTTTTAGCATCCTCCAGCTCATTGTTAACAGATTGACAAAAAAATTGACGGAATCATACACTACATGAAAACAAACTGCATCAAATAAGCAGCCATACAAAAAAACCTTCAGGCGGTGTTAAAATACTCTCCCCTGGGTATTAAATAGTGGTCACTAACCGCCCTAAGAAGCGTTGCAAAGGTGGAGGTCTTGCATTCATTATTGATGAAGACGTCAGATACCGCAAACTTTCCCTACCCTCACTACCCACCTCAAACAATCATACTGAACTGAGAACTCAAAGTAAATCAGGCGACTGACTTCTCAACTTGATAAACTTCTATATTCCAGCAAACTCAAGCTGTATCACAGGTTTTTCAGCCTCCGTAAAACACTTACTAGACCTGCAATTGTCTCTTATTGCTAGTGATATTAACGCACATAATGAGCTCTGGTACTCTCGTATAAACCAAGACCAAAGATCGGCTACGAACGCAAATTGGAGCACTGAACTAGCACTTGGCTCAAAACACATCCTCTTCACCATAAACATCACCTGCGTCCTCGAAAATTTGGATGCAGAGAAACGCACATACGATAACAGAAACAGGAAAACAGTCAGGAAAACAGACTGGTTAAAAATCATGAAAAAAAAACAAAACTTTTTTTTTCAAAAAACACAATTCTAAAGCGCTTGTATTGAGGTTGAAAAAAGTTAATCTATAAAAACAGCATCACAAAACATCCCACATACCTGAAATAACCCCTAACCTCCTTGGAGAGACATAAACAATATTGTATGAAAGAGACAATTTACAGAAATTTCACCCAGGTCACAATAGCATCACTCCGAGAAAATTGTGACTATAGAGTACAGACAGGCAAGTTATGGTCGACCACTAAACCACATCAAACAAACTATTAATTTTTATGATGGCCCACCAATCTATGATGTGAAAAACTCCACCAAGCGTTTCAACGAACAATAAAACCCGCACTTAGATAGACTTGGCAAAAAAAGAAATATAATACCTAAAATAAGAAAACTCTCTTTCAAAGCTAACAACTTCACGGCTGAAGAAGTAAAAACTGCAATTGAAAAAGTTTTTAAAAAATGCAAGGACTCGGGTTCTGATAAGATTGCAACGATTCACTTTCACCAACTTGGACAGGTTCACCAACGTCTTAACATCACTAAGCAACGCAATCAACCCACATAATTGGGAGACCGGCCGAATCATCCCACTACAAAAAATCGATGAACAACCTGAAACATTTAAAGAATATAGGGGCCCATTGTACTGCTGTCTCTCGTGGCTAATTTAATAGAAAGACTACTCCAACCCAAACTGAACCAGTACATTGATCTGGCTTATCATCAGCATGGCATCAGAAAAGTACTGTCAGCAGTAACGGTCTTAAATTGCATCAACCGGAAACAATTAATTCAGGTGCCTCAACAAAGGAAAACTGTCATAGAACGCTAAATGTCGCTTTAGACCTTACCACCGCATTTGATACGGTTAACCACCGAGTTCTCATTAATGACGTTTTAAGTACCTCATTTAATAACAACGCGAAACAATGGCTGCTTTCATATCTACGAGGTCGATTCACTTAAGTTGAATTTAGCAATTGGGCATCCAGCAAGCGTAAAGTGAAACAAAGTAACCCACAAGGAGGTGTTCTCTCACTGGCTCTCTTTAACATTATATGATCTCCATAGCACACCCTAGTGACAACATTAAAATAGTCACCTATAAAGATGAAATAACGCTTCTCTCATCTGGGCCCAATGCATCGGTACTACACATCCTCATACGCGCATCCTCCTGAGACGAAGGATAATCTTTAAAAACGAAACCCGTTGCCTATGAACGAGACGAGGACACAACAGCAACATTGTTAAATAAATTGAAGACCGTATTGAAGGACATGATGAACAAGACTAATTTAGAAGCTTTAGAGATTAAATGTTTTAACGCAGAGGCAAAGCTTCGCTTCGAAAACATTATCGAGAGCACGACAATTATTCCTCTAGAAAATGCAACAAAAAATGAAATGAGCCTTAAATTAGGAAAGTTTGTCTAGGTCTAGGTTTCGATCTGCGATCTACTGCAATCAAGAGATATTGAGTCTCACGCATTGACCATTCAGCCACGCACGCTTAACCATCGGCAAAAACTAGTCACGAAGAAAGCCGCTATGTATACTAACAAATGCCAATGCAATTCAGCAAAAGCGGAACTAATTACAAATAGACACAAGTTTACAACCAAAAAATTGAATATAAAAAACTGAAAGCATCAACACTAATTTTGCATGTAACAAATCAGACAGCATAAAGCGACATTATGTAAAAATTATGCATTTCCAAATATTTCGAGATATATTAAGTTGGAAAACTTCTGAAATCAACTTTTTATAATTGTTGTTGTTTGAAACAAATAGCTTTTTTTTCGTTCTTCTGATGAATTAACACAGAGGCAAAGTTGCAATTTGCATACACAAGCAAAAGCAAGACCGTAAAGGTTCTGGAAAAAACTGATTGACTAGAACAAAATTTCTTTAGTCTTGTGAGTCTACAAAAGTTCTTGAGTGACGCACGCCAATTATGAGCCCACATAGTTATTGCAAAGTGACGCAAGCCAATTAAGACGCATTAACAGTACCAGTCAATTTGAAAAACGAAATTTACCATTTTACATGCCTCAACTTATAGAGCGGACGCATTTTAACGAGTAAACAAAAAATTTTATTAGAAATATCCGACCCTGTCCAGGTTCGAACCCTCTTTTTTTGTTGCGGGTCTCCTTCCGTACCTCTAAGCTACAGATCCATGATACCTTGAAGCTAAAAAGCGATTTGTAATGTAATACTCCGAGTTAATATCCTCAGCATTGGCTGTACTTAGTAGCTGGTTTTTGATCAAAATGAACACTTTCAAAATGAACACTAACATTTGCGGCTTAGGTTGGAAAAAAGAGAGTCCATACTATCACAAAAGCGTTGCTTGCTTAAAACTGCCCCAAAAGTGGCACCAATAATTGCGACTTAGGTTAGAAAAAAAGGATCGTAAGTAAACACTAATCTGACGCTAGTGTAAATATGGATTAATATAACTACATTGCTAATTTGAGAGTGTTAAAGGAATGGGTTTACTTTATTGAAGTTAGCAAATTTAAAGATGTATGAAACTTACTATGATACATTTCGAATTTATTTTTGGTGAAGATAATTCAAAACTTCATTATATATGTACTGATGCTTATATTTGTTTTGAGTATGAAAACTGAAGATGTTAAAACTGATCTTTAATTTCAAAGAACTTTTTGATTTGAATAATATAAAGAAGTGGCATGACTTTTTTTCTACAAAAAGGAGACGAAAATAGGCTTATGTACGATAATAAAGGACTCCTAAGGACCTTTGGACTGATAAACTTTTTGCTTCCAAGCAAAATTTTATTGTTATATTGAGAATTGTGAAAAAATCAGAAAATTGAAGGGAATTTTGGAAGAGACATCAAAAATAACAGTTGATCACTATGATGACTACATATTTAGTTATAATCCTGAGAATCCAATTAAACATCAGAAAATATCACTTCAGAACCGAAATCATAAAATTTATTTATCCAAGATAATGAAAAACAGTTTGAGTTCTAACGAGAACAAACGTTTCTATTTCTATAACATAAAAATTACGCCTTATGGAAAAGTAATTGTAAGCAGCGATATGTTTAGTGTTGGTAACTTGTTGATTGACAATTGTGTCAATGAAGTCTTATGCTAAGAAATGGTGGGGCACGATGTTTGATAAATGGTTAATTATACTTTGTTTTCAGGAACTTTATGAGTTTTGTTACAACTAGGTGGAACTGGGCATTGTACCTGTTCCAGTAGTGAAAAAATGAGGGACTTGATTATGATCAAGTATTTTGAAAGTTCCATAGAGCAAGGAGAGATGCTACAAATCAAGAGAAAAAAACTTAAAAGCGAGCTGAAGGCAAGTTGATGAGGGCGAAGTGGATTGAATCTGAGATGAGACGAAGACTACTCGTGTGATTTATAATTTCTTTTTCTTGATCTGAGATGCTTCTAAAACCGTACGGAAAAACCCAACCAGTCCCTCATTTCATTCATAACTTAGTTAATGCATTAAGAAAGTGACAAATAAATAGTCTCGAGAAATCAGACAACTTATACAAAAAGGCATAACACTTTTAAAAAGCAAGACTTGGAAAAAGTCGAAGCAAAAGTAGTTTTTGCCATTTTCCCAGAAGAATTCTCAAAATTATCTAACTTATTGAGGCAGACAATGAGCATATTGAAAGTGGTACTATATTTAGCTTTTTTGTTCTGACAACTCTCATAGATTGAGAAGGAACTATGTTGTACGGTAGGTTTTTGCAGCAACTTTGGACTACCTCAGAGAGAGTTTGCATGGGGATAAAATGTAGTATTAAATTAAATCTGTTGTGACATAGCATATGGTCTAAATCAAATGTGGTATCACATCAACTGTGCTTCGTAATTTGCATAAAAATGAAATATTTCTCGGTGTCTGAATCTAGCAGAGGGCATATGAACTTTTTTGGTAACGTCAATCATCTCTCATTAAAACGCTTTGAAGGCATACAACAATTTGCCTAATCATCACCTAACTCTAGAGAAAATAAACGTGATTTTTTTTTTCAAAAAAAAAATAAGAGAAATTAGTGAATATCATTTATTATTATGATTATGATTACAAGTTTGCGGCAAGGCGCTGGGAGTGATCCCATTGAAAAAATTTGTTACAGACAATTTTCGCAACAATCACTAAATAACGACGCATAGCGCCAGGTACAGAGTTTATTAACTTCAAAATGATTCTCAAAATGAGTCCAATAAAAGCACAGAAGCCTTTAAGTCCATTTGCCTGAAGAACAGGTAAATGCTTGTTCAGGATATTGAATAGTCTGGGGGCTCGAAACCAAAAAAAATAGTTCTACAAATTTCAAGTTATTAGGCCGGCAGCTCAAATATTTGACTTATTGATCTTTAGTTTCGTACTAATTGGTATTTTGCTTAAAATAATTCGTCTAAGTGAAGTTGCAGACCTCTTGTCTACTTGCACTATTCGAGGCAAGTTTTTAGACAGTTATTTATACGAGAAGCTTAGAAAATGACTTAATGGTGGCAATAGGCTAAAAAAAAGAAATTAACAAATAAATTCATGCAAAACAAGTATAGCCGGTTGCTGTGCGACCATATTCATTGAAAAAATTACCGAAAATTATCTATTTTCTTCAATTTAGTGAGGTGTTTTGAGAGTGGTGTGATAAGAGAACTACACAATCGCGTAGAAAGTTAATGAAGTAGGCTTGATCGGCAACAGTTGGCTTCAAAAATTAATAAAAGACAACAATTGTGTGTGTGTTATATTTCAACATAATTTTTTAAGGATTTTTTTTTCGATTCATCTTTAATGCAACTTTTGTTGTGTAGCTCTGCTTTGCTTCTGTGTTAATTTTAGCTGATAAAAAATAAGAAAGGAACCTTGCGAAGTTACGTCTGACAAGTGTATCTTCTTCCGCTCTAGCATCTGACACACAAAAGTGGAGAAGTCTCTCACAATCGTCATCATCCCGATTCCATCCACTAGTGCATGCGACAAGACGAAGAAGATTATGTACCTGTGCTGCTGCTGCTGCTGCTGGAAGCCATCATTTCCCACACCCCATTGCTTCTTACTACTGCTAAATGCATATCTCTCACACTCAACGCCACGTGATCTCACATCTGATGACGTAATATCGGCAGATGCAGCACCTGATGATGTCATACTGGATGAAGTGTTTTTTGAAGAGACAACAGCCTTTGTTGACGAGCACTGTTCGGCACTGACTTTGGCGAAAAAGAACTTCCAAATGGGTCCACCATCTTTTATACCTTCTTTTACGATATCGTTGAACCGACTTTGGGCTTCTGTTTCTGAGAGGGTTCCGAGATCTGCAGTCGTATGAACATGTTCAGGCGCCATTCTAGCCCAGTAGAATTTTTTCTTTGTGGCGTCGTAAACTGTGTTGATTTGTAGTTGTTCATACTTGCGCACTAGCTTGTTCAGACATACTAAACACTCTGCATATAACATGTCCACTTCTGCTGTAAACTGCACGAATCCCCCCACTGTTAGAACTCCACAGTCCATCATATTTTTCATGGTCTCTTCACTAAGACTCAAATAACGCAGTTTTTCCAGCACCACTTCGGATACTTTTCCCATCCTGGCAGCACGCATTGACGAATAACAATCTGGGCTAATTGGGATCGAGTCCCTACCTTGCTTCTTTTTTTCTCTTTATTCTTCGTATTGATTTAATTCAATAGGATTTGCAGGTTAGAAAAATCTCAATGACCGATATGAGTTGAAGCGCATTAATACACGCGTAGTACTGTTCAATATAAACTTGAGTTTGAATCAAATAAACACATGCCATTTTTCATACCTTTCATTTCATGCTTCAATCATTTTTCATACATTTTGTTCTCCTATGGTTTATTACGTGTACATTTTTACACCAATCTGCCATGTGTTTTAACATTTCAATCAGAGCAGCTGCTAATTAAAGTACGAGTACGTTTGCAGTGTGCTGTCCAAATTGGATGCTTTCCTTTATGGAAATAAATTGAGACCAAAATTAAACTCAGCTCACACAAATATCATGTATTACCTTTTGAACTCAATGTACTCCATTTCCAATTCACAATTTGAATGTGTTTTTTGACAAAGACAGAAAAGAAGGCAACACTCTTGCAGTTGGAGTTGTTAAATTAAAAAACTCAAGATAGCTGGGATGCCTCCGATCTTCCTTTACTTGTTGCTCTACCAATCAACAAGTGATTGGGGGGCAACTTAAAATTCGGTGGCTGTTTTTCATTTCAGAACAATTTGAATTAAACAAAAATCAACACCGCCCAACGTCGAAGCATAGATTTTACACAGGCGAGGCTTCACTTTGCAAACACAGGCGAGAAAACGGCAAAAAGTAGCTCTAAGAGGGTCAAAACTAAATGAGGAGCTAAAAGGTGAAAAGAGTGCTTGAAAAGTAAAACTTCTTCTTTTTGCCGCAATTGAAACTGCGACTAGGTGATAACAAGTGTTACGTCCTCACATCTATCCTATATTCACTTGGCAGTAAGCAAACACTACACTCTAAACATTCATCTTGAAAAAATCATCCAACAATGTATCCTGCTATGCAAAAAATCGAGAATAACACACAATGTTTCATCTTATCGAACAATTTTACAGGATAAAAAATAATCGAAAAATAACTCTTTGACACTCAAAAACTATCAAAGAGGACTTCCAAAGTTGTAAGCGTAGAAGAAACAACTAGAAACAAAAAAAATGAAAATGAAAATCAAAAAATGAAAAAATGAAACAAAAAAGTTCAGTTCCCAGTTGGGTTGAAATTGAGCGTTGCAAATTTTGAACTTGGGGCCAAAGTCTGAGCCATCACATAAAAAACATCGGAAAATTGTAGAAAACAAAATATTAGGTAAATAAGCCGACAGAATTAAAACCGACAAGCAATTAGCTGAAAATCTACCAAAATTGTTCGGCAAAATTTTATTGGAAAATATACTTATACTGGCAAAATTTTATTGGAAAATATACTTATACTGCCAAAATAGTATCCACGAAAGGCAGATAGGTAATGAAATGAAGGTGATAAACACAATTCGGAAGCTAAACCGAGAGCTAAATCGAAAGCCGAAAAATCATCAGCAAAAGAGTAATATCGATGTGTTTTAAGTATACATACAACTAATCTATCAAAGTGGAAGAAAACACTTGTAAAAAAAACGAGCCAAGGCAATAGAATGCAAAATGAGCATCGGAACAAAACTAACCAAGCATTAACAAAACACAAAAAACCACAAGTTTTCAAAAAAGCCCTTTCTGTCTAAATTAGCCAAAATTTTCTTGAACCGAACTCCCGTCTCAAGCATGGGGGTTACAGCAACATAGAAAAAAAGCTGAACCATCGAGCTACGGGAACTAAGCTTACAAAAATAAAAAGCCGGAAAATAATCCGAAAAAGCACAAAAAACTCTAGTTTGCAAAAAAGCCCGGCCGGATTCGAGCCGCAAATCTTTGCCATCTCAAGCAGTTATTTTACCTCTACGCCAGATGCACCGGATTGATGATTGGATTTGAATTTTTAATTACCAAGCGGTAACAAAGCTGAAAAACCCGTAGCATAAACTCTTTATGATGAAAAGAAATTCAGAAAAAGTTTGAACTTATTTTAAAAATGTCAAGTCACTTTTCCCTTCAGAGCTTACACCTGCGCACAATTTTTTTTCGGACGTAAATACGCAATAAGAGGCCACTAAGTCCATATTAATTAGGCCGAAACTTATTAAGCCGATAAAAAAGACGAAAAAAAGAGAAAAAAACGTGAAATTTTAACAAATGGAGCTGGTTAATTACAACCAATGTGAAAAGCAAATTTCGATTCAGCCTGACTTTTGAAATTCTAAAAACAACTGCAGTTAAAAATTTTTACAGCTTATTCCAACGATTCTTAGATGTGGCAACTAAGCCGACAAAACATAGCACACAAAAAATAGGCCAAAATTTTCTTGAACCGGAACAATTACCGCTTGAAAAAAACTGGTCCTGGTCAGATTCGAACCCAGGACCTTTGCCGTCCCAGGCGTATTCGATGCCACCTGGCTGAGCGTGGAAAAGACACTGTAACTTTTGAAATCACTATGAACCAAGGTACCACCAGTTCAATGAGTCTAGCCACACTGTAAAGAACGAAACAAAGTATTTTCGATTCATTCACTTAGTTGTATTTCGATTCAACTTTTTTCATTTTCTAAAGTTGAATGGCTGAACTTAGATAGATAATTACAAACAAAACCTTTTCGAAAAAATTACAAACCCAAATTGCTTCATCGTCAGCTACACGAAAAGAAAAAGGCGAAGCTGGAACACAAGCAAGAAAGCGGCAAAGATTCAGGAACTTTACAATGCACAAAAGATCAAATTTTTTTGTGTAATAATTTGGAAAGTAATCAAATAACGCAATCACACTAACTTTACATGTAATAAGAAAAATTTCGTTCAACCAAATTGCGTATAAATTATGCATTTCAAAAACCTCGCGAGCTTTATCAAGTTTTTTGAAATTCTGAAATGGTACTTTAATTACACAGAGGCGAAGAGGAGCTTAGCACCACTTGCAATACAATAAAATCATAAAAAATGAAGAAAAAAAACGTGGAAAAAAATTAGGTGAACCAAAACTTTCGTATAACTCGATTAAGGTTAAGCTAGATGTACGATACTTTTTGAACTTGTTATACTGATGCGGTACAAAATGCTTTATTTCACAAATTGAACTTTGCCCAAGACCTTAGTTGTTTCTCTACTAAATTATATGAGAAGAGTGAAAAACTGAGATTTTGGATTTTTCCCAAAGACATAATATTTCTTTTACAAAAGTTTAAAATAGCCTCTTCTCAAAGGAAAACTGGATTTTTCCCAAAGACATAATATTTCTTTTACAAAAGTTTAAAATAACCTTTTCTCAAAGGAAAACTCGCAAAACTGCTTCTGTGGGTTGAATTTTTTATATCAGATTTGATAGGGTACTTTTTATGGAATTTCAAAAAGTTTCTAAAAACATCACTCGAAAATTATTAGGCCAATTCTGAAATAAAGTGTTCTACCGAGAAACCCGATTTTGGGAATGCTTCAAAACTCCAACTTGTTTGAGTACCAGAACTTTTTTCAAAAGAAACAGGGTGTAGCAAATGACAAAGGCAAGCTTCCAATAACTTGTTGTGTCGATTAAACCTAATCATATTAGATTCGGCAGGATAGATATCGAGGAAAGTCCAAAAAACGGTCAACAAATCAGATCAGTGAAGTTTCCAAGAATCGTAGCTTTTTGTTTAAAAAGAATGCGCGTAGCCCTTTATGCAGAAGATATTCACGCAGCCTTAATTACGACTGAACTCAAAAACTCGACTGGTTTGGCAGGGTAGTTCTCGAGAAACGTCAAAAAGTTCGACTGGTTTGACTGGTTTGGCAGGGTAGTTCTCGAGAAACGTCAAAAAGTTTCAAAAAACGGTCAAAGCATCAAAACTTTGATTTTTCCGATGGCCATCAATTTTTGTATGATAAAAAATTGGGCGTAGTGTCGTATTAAAGAAGTTTCTCACAGCCCGGCTTTTGAATTGAGCCCAACATCTCAAATATGGGAAGCTAATTTTCGGTAAAATTTATATAACTTCAGAAAAAAACGCTTAGAAATTTAAAAAAATTGACTTTTCTGAGGACAATGCTTGTTGAGTAGCCGCTTATATGGAGGCCATTCGCCTAACCTGTAATTTCGATCGAACCCAAAAACTAAGTCTTGGCAGGGTACTTATCGAGAAAAGTTTTCAAAAATGCCCAAAAAAAAACAAAATTGACTATTCCGAGGGACATAATTTTTTGTATCAAAAAAACTTGGCAGTAGTCGCGTAAGCAAACTCTCATACGCAGCCCAGTTTTTGGATGGAACCCAACATCTCAAAAATGGGAGGGTCGTTTTCGGTAAAATTCATAAAAAATAGAAAAACGCTCAAAAAATTATTTTTTCTCAAGACGATAAGTTTTTGTGTAATAAAAAGGTGGGTAGCCGCTAATACAAGGAAGTTTCCAAATACCTCGATTACCTCATGCCTCCATTGAGCCCACAACCTCAGGTTTGAGCGTTTAGTTTTCGTGAAAAGGCAAAAAGATTCAAAAAACGGTCAAAAAATTCAAAAACTTTACTACTCCGAGGGCCATATTTTTATGTGTAAGAAAATTTTCGGCAAAACCGCTTATGCAGGGGAGTTTTCTAAATCCACTCTATTCAATGAACCAAATTCTCAGTTTTGTAGGTGAGTTTTTCAGAAAACGAAAAAAAAACAATCAAAATTATCGGTCAAATATTCCTCCAACAGACTTTTTCGAAGACTGTAGACAAAAAGGTAAAGCAAAAAGAGACCAGGCGAGTATGCAGGCACACAAAAGTATGATTGATCTTACTATGGATACCCCTTTCTTGAAAATCGAAAAAAGTTCTTTTGAAAAACAAACTAAATTCAGACGCATTAACAGTACCAGTCAATTTGAAAAAAGAAATTTACTATTTAACATGCCTCAATTTAAAGAGCGGACGAATTTTAACTAGTAAACAAAAACGTTCATTAAAAACATCAGACGATGCCCAAGTTCGAATTCTCTTACTTTTTTGCGGGTCTCCTTCCCTACCTCAACGCTACAGATCCATGATACCTTGAAGCTGACGTGCTAGTTGTAATATAAATAATCTGTGTTCATATCCTTAAAATTAGCTGTACCTAATAGCTGGCTGTTTTTTTTTTGATCTTATGCAGATAGTGCAATAAAAGAACACTTTTAAAATGAACACTAAAACTTGCCACTTAGGTTGGAAAAAAAGAAATTTTATACTATCACACGAGCTTTACTTGTGTAATAACACCTGTTTTTATCGAAGAAGAATTCTGGACAAAATATGCCAAGCAACATTTTGAAATTCAATTTAGAAAATAAACAATTTTACGAAGCGGAAACAAGGCCGACAATCTTTGATCAGACACCAGTTCAGCCGAAAACAAAACGGATTTTGTAAATAAAAAAACTTTAAAAAGTTTTAAGTCCCCCGAAACTACCCGGTAGTAATTAGTACCCACTTGATAACGCTTGCAAATGGCAAGCGTAATTATACTGTTAAAATTGCTTAATGAATTAAGAAAGCATCAACTGTGTTGAATTATCACAAATCAAATGTGAAAGCCCATGGTATTATAATAATAACGCAGCCTACTAATCCAGAAGTTCCAACAAAACAAGCACATTCATTTTCGACTCAGGTTGGGAGAAAGTAGCAACGTACTATAACACTACGTTCGGGCGTCTAATCAGTAACAAAACATTGAATTCAAACTTAAATTGTAAATCATACGGATGTATTTTAAAATATAGTAATATTTCAATTATAGAGCGCGATAAATTTGTTGCTGCATAAATAGATCAGATCAAAAAGAAACAAAAGAAAACTTTGAAATGCCTTAGACGGTTGGTGCGCAAGTAGCACAAAAAGTTCCGACCACGATAGTAAGAAAATAAAACGAAAACTTTCATTTTTTTAAATTGAAGTCGAATATAACTAATTCAAAATTACAATTGCATATGCGTAAGTTCTAGACTTTCATTCAGATCCTTTCATGACAAAAGATCTGAAAAAAATCTTAGAACTCAGACATATTCGATGGTAATACTAAATAAGGTATATTCGACATCAGCCTTCCTCGACAAAAGAATAGAAAATTTTTTTTAAAATGAAAAACTAAATTCGAAAATAAAGAAAGGGCTAAAAACACCTGCGAAAACTATTTATACTTGAGCAAAACGAAGCTTTCACTGCTTGCTTTGAATTGCAAGGCTTGACATTTATAAGTCTATTATATATAAGACCTCAGGCGCGGATCTAGGAATTTCTTGAGGGGGCGGATTTTCAAAAAAAAATTGAAAATTATGTCGACCTTTTATTTTTTGGTCGACCAAAGCTCTCCCAAACCGGCGTTTTTAAGCACTTTTGGAAAATTTTGAAAAGGCGTTTTTAGGCACTTTTGGAAAATTTCTACCAAAAAATTGCGTTTTTAGGCACTTTCGAAAATTTCGAAAAAGCGATTTTAGGCACTTTTGGAAAATTTCGACCAAAAAATTGCGTTTTTTCGGCGCGCGCTCCCCTCTCAAAATTAGAATAGATTGGCGCTCGAAATTAGACTCGATCTGCCTTACTCGCTCGAAATTAGACTAAAACCCAAAACTTTCATCAGGTTTTTCTCGACACTGGGAAATCTTTTAAAGTTCGTTCAAATCAGGACTGAAGGGGATGTCATTTGATATACCAGTGGTAGCTGAATTTGCGTGGAAAACAAAGAGATAAAAAACTAAAACACCCGAAGACAAAGTTCCACCCCAATTCAATGGTCGGAACAAAAACTTTGAGTTGCGAAAAGTTTTTTTTTGTTTTTTTTTTTCATTTTTTAAGAACTCTAATGTGACCTCAGGCACAGTGGCGTGCACAGGAACTTTTCGAAGAGGAGTGTTGAAAAATCGTGGAAATTTTTTTGACCTTTTTTAAGTCGACCAAATTGATTTTCCAAGCTCCCGTAAACTGTTTTGAAGACCTTATTTTGCCAAACTTACTTGCGCGGCGGGAAAATTTTTCAACAAAAAGTCAGTCAAAATGATGTTTAAAGTCACTTTTCGAAAATTTTTGGCACTCCCGCCCTCGCATTTAATTTAAATTGGCGGCAAAAGCTCTTTTTAGAAAATTTTTAGGTTTGGTCAACTAAAAATGAATCTAAAATATTACCAAAAGGAGATCAGAATTTGGGGGGGGGGGGGGGCGACCCCCCTTTCCTTCGACACGCTACTGCTCAAGTTTTTTACAGTTTAAGAAGAACAAGGTATCGACTAAGTGCTAGTTGAACTACTGGCAATATCATTGCAATGATTACTGTTATGGACATGATCGTTTCTATTTCCTGAGAAGTGTTGTTCTGATGGAATATGTTTCCCTGAGTTAGTGTCGCCTGGCTTCTTCTTCTCTCCTTCCACTTCAACTGCCACCTGATCCAATTTGTCTTCGCGTGTAGTTGGACGAGACGGGGACTCCGTGTCTGCAGCAGCAGCAGTCCCTATTACGTCTACCTATAACACACAGAATGCTGCTGTTTTACACTGATCCACCCTACAATCTACGCCATAGTAGCTTATGCCAAAATATGCTAAAGACTTCAAAAACTATCTTCATCAGAGTAAAACTAATTTTTTGTAATAAACTCGGTGCGCAAAAGTAAACACAGAGGCGAAGCATTTGCGACTTAGGTTGGAAAAAAGAAGGATCGTACTAATACACTCGCTTTGCAAGTGTAAACAATCCGACAATGTGAAAAAAAAAATTACTCTGAAAAACTTGCATGTGGGAATGGGGTTTGGGAGTAAAAAGGGCTTTTATTTTTGTTGCCCAATTTTCCCAAAAGGTCCCCCTTTGGTATAAATTTAAGAGATCCAGGTTTGGCTGGCTAACATCAAAAAAATTTGTAAAGGCGCCAATATAAGTAAATTTGAGGGGTAGTGCGCACCCAAAAAACAATTTTTTGGTCAAATATTTTTGAAAGTGCTCAAAAGTCTATTTTTGCCGGTTTTTTTCCGGTTGACAAATAGGGTCTTTATAGCATTTTCGGAGAGCTCGGAAAAACAAATTTGTCGACCTCAAAAAAGGTCAACAAAATTTTCAATTTTTTTTTTTCGAAACACCCCATAGAAAAATTTCTGCATACGACACTGTCTCTTCCACTAACTTTCAGTTACCTGGTCACAAAATAAAACAGATACAGCTCAGGAGCGCATTTGAAGTAAGAATTATACTTTCACCTTCGGCGCCAACATATACTAATTTTGAGGGGCGCGCGCTGAAAAACGCAATTTTCGAGGGGCGCGCGCTGAAAAACGCAGTTTCAGCGAAAAACGCTGAGATTGCGCTTACTCGTTTTTTTTTTGAAAACCCTCCCCACTTTTTGAGAAAATCTAGATCCGCGAATGATTTAGCTGAGAGAAAAAAAATCTGCGTAAATTGACGATACTTGTTCAAAAAGAGAGATGAAAGCAAGTTCACAAACAGCATAAAGAAAAAAGTTTGTTTTGAACAAAATAGAAAAAAAAACTTCCCGGGCAATTCTAAGAAAGTGATAAACTAGCGCCGGAGACCCTTGAAGACTTTGGGGTTTTGCTACAAATAAAAGTTGACTGACAGTTTATAAACTGAGAGGAAGATGTTTGAATAAAAAGAGACGAGATGAGAGAAGAAGAAGAAGGCACGTGCCCATAGTCGGCTGAGTTGCTGTGCGATGGCGTGAACAGTTTGCTGGGAGTAGAGGTGGGTGGGGTAGCTGATGGTCCAGTGCAGTTGTCCCTGCAGAGTCATGAGCACGTTGCAGAAACAGTCGCCCGATTTGGACTGGTCTGCTAAGGCTGAAAGGAAGCAACGAACACGTGTCTTTGTAGGGAGCTGGAAAGTAGGTTAAATATCAGTGGTGGCCCATTTACATATGGGCCCAATACCCTCCCAACAACTCATCACTCCACACCTTCGCCACCTACAGGGTCCCATTTTGGTACTATTTTACTGCAGCATTTTCGGCTGACATTTTTAAAGCGCCTCTAGAGACAATTTTCCATGTCTGCGGGAGGAGCATGCACAAAAAGGCGATAACTGGCGAATTTTCTGTCCATTGAAAAGTGTTTCTTAATAATTTGGGAGAGCTTCCAAAATCAACTTGGTCGACTAAAAAAGGTCGCTAGCTACCCTCGCATTAAAGATCACCAAAATGGTCTTCACCGTTCACTTTTTTACTCTACAGAATACAAATTACATCACTTCCTTCCATTCCGGCTGTAACAAAAATATGCAACAACATTCACTACATAGTTTCACACACATGTGGTCTTCAAATGTAAGTTTGTTGAAACACTGGCTGCCTACCTTTGAATTTAAATTGGTCAGTATGTTGAACAAAAGCGAAGAGTAAGCCAGCATCACAATCATTTAGCCTCATGTTTCACGCTGCTTAACCCGAAACGAAATAAAAAACAAGGCCATTTGAATTTTTTGGAAAAAGTTTGCTAAACCCTTCCGTAGTTTTGAAAAAAGGTGGCCCACCAAAATGGGTAAACTTTCTAAATTGTTTATGAGCACAGAAGTATGCATGCGGCACCAAAAAGTGGCCTTTGATGTAATTAATGATCGGAAGCAGCAGTTGCCGAACGTGGGGGGTTGGTACTATGTTGATAGAGATGAAAACGAAGATGGATGTACCAATTGACTTCTCCACACAGATGGCGTCGAAGTCCCCACAGGACTGCTGGTCTGTGCAACACACGTGGCCTATGTTGGAGAACTGTATCATGCACAGTCTGCCACAGGGGCGGGGGTGGGAGGAGAAGGCGGACACGAAGTCATGCACCAGCTGGGTGTCCTTCGAGATCCTCCTCTGCACCTCCCCATAGAAAAAGGTCTGGAAGTTCTTCACGTTACCCCTGCACACACAAAAACAGAAAATTACTAGTTACTTCAAAGTACACCAACATTTAAAACACAAAGGACAGGCTGAGCTTCGCACCACTTGCGATACACTACTGAAGGATGAAAGGAACATGACGCTCAAAAATTAGCAAACTGATTTTCGAACGATGTTACAGTTGAAGAGTAAAACATTTTGTTTCTTTTTTTAATTAATTATAAAATTCCAAAAAGGTCCTCGTGTGGTTGTTTTTTGGCATTCAAACATTGGTGCAAGAGTGTCATCGATATCAAAAGTACTACCGGAAAATTAACTGGAAAAATTGGTAAATAAACAAATAAAGCAGACAGTCACCAGAAATAAAGCAGACAGTAAACAAGCTGTAGTGTATGCAAAGTGGACTAAATAATTCGGAGACTAGCCGACCAAAATTTAAGCCTACAACCATGAAGCGGGAAAATCATCCGCAGAAAATTAATACCGAAACAATTGTACATACAACGTTTTGCGTTCCCTATATATGGAAAATTCTAGCCTATGGCAAAAACGATTCGGTTTAAGAAAAAGCTTGGGATTTTTCGAAGTTCCTTGCTCCATTAGCTCGCGCAAAAAAAAACTAAAAAACCTGGAAACCAATTGAAAGGCTTCACTAGAAAAACAGTTTTCTATCCGGTTCACTTTTTGAAAGAAACTTGAATTTTTAAAGTTTCATAGCTTAAACAGCTTCCTAAGAAAAATTAATCTTTTTGCGAACTTTTTTAGTCTATAAAATAACTGGAAATAGCTCTAAGTGTCAAAGCTTAATAGTTTGCTTCGCAAAACTTATACTTTTTATGAACCAAATCAGCGTATGCAAAGCTTAGAAATGTTTGAAAGTTTCATGTTTTAAATAGCTCGCATAGAAAAACTTGAACCTTTTGTTGAAACTTCGCCGGTGTGTAAATTATCTGAACTGATGATTTTATCTGATTACAAAAATTTGATAAAAAATTAAGATTTTTCCGTTTTCCTGAAATGATGCCTTTGCCTAGGTTTTGTGTTCGTCAATTGTGAGCTATCAGAAAAAGTTCACCGTTTTTTCAAAACAAAATATTTCGTATAGCATTTTTTTGTATTGTAATTGAGGCAAAGCGGAAAAAAGTCTATATTATCCCGAAAAATGTCTTTATTCCTATCTGATAGCGCTTGCTAATTGCAAGCGTAGAAACTATTTCATCACTTAAAAACTTAAATGCTCGTGTAAAATATCGCAGATAAATGATTAATTCAGGTCTTCCCAAAATCATTCATCATTAAAAAAAACATTCCATTAATTTTCGCTAAATCAATTCAAATCAAAAACACCCAACCTTAGCCTCTAGTAGAATTGAGATCTGATATGAGGAACATAGCTTGATAGTTTAGTCATGATCCAACTCCATGTCCTCAATCATCAAAGCGGTCAGCAGTTTTTATTTGAATTGATTTAGAGAACGTTAATTGAATGTTTTTTCTTAATTGATAAATGGTTTTTGGGAGGCATCAGAGATGTTTTACACGAAAATTTAAGTTTGTAAGTGATGAAATAGTGTTTACGCTTGCAATTAGAAAGCGTTATCAAATCGGAATAAAGACATTTTCGGGATAATAGACTTTTTTCTGCTTTGCTTCAATTACAATAAAAAAAATGCTATACGAAATATTTTCAATTGAAAAAACGATGAACTTTTTTGATAGCTCACAATTTACGAACACAAAACCTAGGCGAAGGCATCATTTCAGAAAAACGGAAAAATCTTAATTTTTTATTAAAATTTATTAATCAGATAAAATCATCAGTTCAGATAATTTACACAACGGCGAAGTTTCAGCTTCGCAAACACGAGCGAGAAAGCGGCAAAGATTCCGTAGCTTAACAAAACATTAGAAATCAAAAACTCAAATGTTTCATTTAATAAATTGGAATGCTACAAACTTAAGGCAACCACACCACTTTTGCTTGGATTAAATTAGAATGTATCAAACCAGACTAGCAAGCCCGTCTCGAATAATCAATTGGCTCGCAAAAAATTGGTTCTGTTCTGATCAAGCTATCCAAGCAGAAAAAGATTTTTGAACAACTTCAAGTTAGGACATATCTTAAATCGGTTTGAAAAACTTCAGGTTTCACAGAACGAATCGTTTACTGAAAAAGTGAAGATTTTCTAAGCAAGCTATGAAACTTTGAGATATTTCAAAATAATTCATGAAGCAATCAAATTGGATGACGCAACTTAACTCAATTAGCAAAAAGTTAAGTTTCTCTAGGCAAGTTTGACAAAAAGTTTTCTTAGTAAGCTATTTTAGCTATGAAATGAAACTTTTCAAGTTAATTCACATAGCGAACTGGTTCACAAAAGGTTCAAGTTTTTCTATGCAAGCTATTTAAAACATGAAACTTTTTTTAAAACTTCTAAGCTATTGCATAAACTGATTTGGTTCACAACAAGTATAAATTTTGCGAAGCAAACTATTAAGCTATGACACTTAGAGCTATTTCCAGTTAAGATTTTTTTTCTTAGGAAGCTGTTAAACTATGAAACGTTAAGTAATTCAAATTTTTTTCAAAAAGTGAACCAGATGGAAACTGTTTTTTTTTTGTGAAGCCTTTCAACTGATTTCCAGGTTTTTCAGTTTTTTAGTTTTTTTTGCGCGAGCTAATGGAGCATGGAACTTCGAAAAAAAACCAAGCTATTTCTTAGACCGAATCGTTTTTGCCAAAGGCTAGAATTTTCCAAAGCAAGCAATTCAAGCTATGAAACTTTGACATAATTCAAGACATTTAATGAAAGAAATCGGTTCACGAAAAACTTGTTTAAGCAAGCGATTCGAAACTTTGAAACAGTTCGAAACTTCGAAAACTACGAGACTTTAAAAAAATGTCCGAGAAAATTCAGAGATTGACTCAGTTTACGAAAAATTTAAGTTCTTCTAGGCAAGCTAATAGCGCTATGCAACTTTGAAATATTTCATAAACAGAATCAGTACGCGAAAAACCTAAAAAATTTCTAAGCAAGCTAATCAA